GCGGAATGCTCATGAACAAACTAAGAAGCGGAATCTAAAGCTAAGTAGCGAAAAAATACATGAGCTTGATATAAATCTAGCAACTACACTAAAGGCCCTTGAAGAGAAGGAAAACGAGCTCATTAGAATCAGACAGATATCAACTGCCTTTGAAGAACAAACAACAAAAGAGGTAGAAAAGCATCACGAGAGGACCGTCGATAAATCAAATGAGCTTCAAAGGAAATTAGCTTGTGAACAGAAAGCTAAAAAGGAAACAGAGAAACGACTTGAAATCTGCCAAGAAAAATCAAAAGAGCTCGAAACAACGCTTGCCGCGACGCAAAAACTTGTAAAAAAGAAACAAGAACCTGAAAATGAGTGCGAGTGGACTTTGAATCGAGAAGAGATTCAGATTACTGAAGAAAAACTCGGAAGCGGAACGTTTGGAACTGTGTACAAAGGAATGTTTCGTGGCACACAAGTTGCTGTAAAACAAGTCTCAGTAAAGCCAAAGATTACAGAGTACAACATAGGAAAGTTTAGAAGGGAAATGAAAATGGCTTCCAGATGTCGYCATCCTTGCATGTTACTATTCATTGGTGCAACAAGCGATGAYCAAAGTCCATTATTGTTGACTGAACTGTTGGACAMCAGTTTAAAAATGGTCTTACTTGAGCGTGCATTAGATCTGTTTGAGATTATAACTATTGCACGGGATGTTGCTAAAGGGTTAAACTAYTTACATCTCACCCGTCCACATCCTATCGTTCACCGTGACATCAGCAGYGGTAACGTGTTGCTATGGAAACATGGTCAGTCATGGCGAGGGAAGATTTCAGACTATGGGAATGCTGTACTGATGAACTATGCCAAGACAGGAAGTGGTGGTGCTATTTCGTACTTGGCGCCTGAAATGAGCAACAAAAGATTTTCACCAAAGGTAAAATATTAGTGAAGCTTACCTCAGTAAAGAACGTTTGTGCAGACATGCTATCTAGGGTGAACGAACCAAAAAATGTTAGTATGAAAGATAGACCAGAATACATCACTGTCGTTTGTTGACTACTGAATAATTATTGTCACCTTTGCATATCATACAAAAGTTGTAATTTGACGTTTATTGCATTTAGGAATTTTTTCACTAAAACAGTGAAAAACAAAGTGCAAAAGAAAGTGCAAGTTCCTAAACATTGCTTGCGGTTTTACATGTCATTTATCATCTTTGGCAATAAAAAGCTTCATTTTATTAGTAGAGGATTGGATGTTTTACTGAGAGATTCATTTTGCAATCAGTGGAGGATTAAAAGTTATCTCAATTGACTATTACTTTTTCCCCAGAGTGATGTGTACAGCTTTGGTGTTCTTCAGCTGGAAATGTGCCTCAGAAAAGAGCCATCATGTCTTGATGATAGAGATGAGCTTATTTGCTTGGTAGAGGATGGAGAACTGAGGACACTGATACGACGTTGTCTTCAACAGGACCCCACACAACGCCCATCCATGGATRAAGTCTTAGCCGCACTAACTACCGCCTCAAGCTCCCTCAATAAATTGACAGGCACCAATTGAGAAATTAYTGTACAACATTTCCTTGCCACTGTTTTCATTGCTACGCGCTGATTGAGACAAATGTCGGTGCAGTTTGC